AATAATGACTAATGTTTTTGATAAAAAAAAATATGATTGGAAAATATCTTTTCTAGTAGCTAAACTCTTGGTAACTGATATAATAATTAATTTAGAGACTAATTCATAATATAAACTATTTTTTGGATTAAATGAGTTTTTCTTCCATAACTATGAAAATTAAATTTAGTCTCGACTTGAAATTTTAACCCAACTTAGTATCTTATATTATTTTTAGAAATATGTAAATTTAGTTCTTTTAATACATTTTATTAAATTTATATAAACTTAACAAAATAAAAAACTAAATTTATATATTTATATAGTTAAGAGGTTAAATTAGATTAAAATTTTATAAAAAAAATTAATTTCATTTTTTAATAAAAATTAAGAATCAAAATCATATTTAACTTTTTAATTTTTTTTTCTTTTATTTTAATATTTAGTTGAAACTTGTTATCTATCATTTGACTAGGTTAATAGTTTAAAAAATTATTAGATCTTTAAAATATTTTTTACTTTATCATACCATTAATTACGTGTAATCTTGTTCAATTTATCAAAGTGTACATGTATTAGATAATTTTTTTAAATATTTTTATGTGTTGTTTACTTTTATTATATAAAATACTATTTTAATATTTTTTTATATAATTATTTTTATTTTCTAACCCAAATTATATTATTATAATTGCATAAATAAATTATATTTACTATAATATAATAATCTAACGTGTCATGAATTTTTTTTCACATCCAGCTTATATTAAAATTCTTTATTAAATTTTAGTTATTATTAATCTAATTTTTATTCTTTGTATAGTCTTGATATAGTGATATATTATAATTTTTATTAATGTATAAAAATAGAGATTTCATTAGAATTGAAAAAATATAATTAAACAAACATTTAAAATACATTTTAAATTTTATCAACTAAGATTTTAGTTTTTGCAAATTTTATTAGTGATTAAAGGAAAATTGCATCCTTCAGAAGAGCATTTTTGAAGATGATCAGCTATATTAATTATTCCCTCAAAATAACCTATATTAATTTTCAACAAACCCTATAAAATGACAATTATAATTATAATGGATTACAAAAACATCGACTATCATTTTCATCTTTCATTGTTATACTTGGTCCCCTCTTCCCTATATGGGGTGTATGATTCGTCTATAAAACAAGATTTGAAGAGAGATCTAATTCAGTCATCTAGCCGAGGTGAAAAGGATTATATAAAGGACTGTATTTAGCTAGCTCAGATGACAAGAATTTCACTAAAAAAATATAGTTCTCTATTCACTAAGTAAATCCATTTTCGGTTTAAAAAAAATACTATTTCAAATAAAGATGTTCAAATCACCTCCGTTCTTCTCCAAATGTACTTCCTAAATTGTAACCAAAGGAAGCTTTTCAAACCCTAAACCCAACACTACGTTATNTGGCTTTTGCACATAACATAATTTGTTGTTGAATGTATTACGTTTGAATGCATTTCATCCCTATGATCCATTTGGTCATTGGAAGCTTCTTCTAGAACAATATTGGTTGTTATGTTTCTTGTGGTCACATATGAGTTTAAAAGTGATCACTTGATACCACCATGAACACCATAATATTTCGATATGCAGAGGTGATAAGTCACTTTTAACCGTTATTCGTTCAAAGTATTTTGTTCTAAGCATACTTCTTATTCATCACTCCAATAGAAAGTATATGTGAAAATTCCTATAATGTTAAAGTCATGTCAAATCTCAACATTAGAGCAAGAATCAAATATTAATTATAAAATTAATTAAATAATTTATTATTTATAACTAATAATTTTATAACTAATAATTTATTAAATAATTAATTATTTACAAATGGATATTTTTACAATTTATAAATAATTAGTTATATTTTAGCATAATCATATGCTTTTATTAATACATTTGATATATAAATTGGTATCAAGTTAATCCATCTTTAACAAATTTCATTCTTAAAAACAAATAATAAGGTTCTAAAATGAAAAGCTAAGAAATATGCTATCTTAAAAGTCCTTAACAACATAAAGTTAATA